TATTTAATGTAAATAAATAATTTTATATAAACTAATTTTATTAATTCTAAATTGTTACTAAAATAATTTTATATTTTATATTTTTAATATAAAACTTTATTAAATTATATTAAATTAAAATTATATATATATATAATTAAATTTTTAATTGAATTTAATTCTATTTAATGTAAAAAATAATTTTATATAAACTAATTTTATTAATTCTAAATTTTTACTAAAATAATTTTATATTTTATATTTTTAGTATAAAACTTTATTAAATTATATTAAATTAAAATTATATATACATATATATATAAAATTAAGTTTTTAATTGAATTTAATTGTATTTAATGTAAATAAATAATTTTATATAAACTAATTTTATTAATTCTAAATTTTTACTAAAATAATAATTTTATATCTTATATTTTATAAAACTTTATTAAATTATATTAAATTGAAATTATATATACATTTAATGTAAATTAATAATTTTATATAAACTAAAATTTTGTCTAAAAACACTTCCCAGTACTTTCACTCTACACGTTACGACTTATTCCTGTCAGAAATTGACGGGCAATTTGTACACCGATTAATACTCTATTCAATTAAATTTACTATCAAATCCTCTTTCAAATTGATGTCTGAAAATAAAAATTTTTTATAATCGATTTATATAAGGGGTTTCGACGCTCATCACGTGGTGAAGCTACTCGGCGTGGTGACACGTGGCCAGCCAACGTTAGTCATCATGGAGCTGATGGTGAACGGCGACTTGAAGAGATATCTGAGGAGTCACAGGCCGGACACGTGCGAGAACATGACCAGCGTGACGCCGAAATTGGACAGGATACTTCAGATGGCGATCGAGATCGCCGACGGTATGGCGTACCTGTCCACGAAGAAATTCGTGCACAGGGACCTGGCCGCTCGCAACTGCATGGTCGCCGAGGATTTAACGGTGAAGGTGGGAGACTTCGGAATGACCAGGGACATCTACGAGAGGGACTACTATCGAAAGGGAAGCAAGGGCTTGCTACCTGTCAGGTGGATGGCGCCGGAGAGTTTGAAGGACGGTGTTTTCAGCAGTTACTCGGACGTGTGGAGCTACGGTGTTGTGCTGTGGGAAATGGTGACTTTCGCGTCGCAGCCTTATCAGGGTCTATCGAACGAGCAGGTGCGTTGTAATTGTACATGAGTATACGTACAAGAAACGTCCAGAAACGGCCTCCTCTCATTTTCATTGCTAATTTACCCCTAGTAAAACCATTTTCGAGACAAAATGATAATTCAAATTGAGTGATAAATTTTTACTTATTTATTGAAAATTAAATTTAAACGATAGTATAGTTCAGTAATTTTATAGTAATATTCTTTACTGTGTTTTATATATTATTATACTTGATATTTATAAAATATAAAATATAATACATTATATATAATGTATACAAGTATTTTTATATTTTATAATGTATATTTTATAAGTAATATACTTTTTGTAAGTATATACTCAAGTAATTTTACAAGCGATATACTTTTTGTAAGTGTATACTTAAGTAATTTTATAAGCGATATACTTTTTGTAAGTGTATACTTAAATAATTTTATAAGCGATATACTTTTTGTAAGTATATACTTGAGCAATTTTATAAGCGATATACCTTTTGTAAGTATATACTTGAGCAATTTTATAAGCGATATACTTTTTCTAAGTATATACTTGAGCAATTTTATAAGCGATATACTTTTTCTAAGTATATACTCGAGTAATTTTATAAGCGATATACTTTTTATAAGTATATACTCAAGTAATTTTATAAGTAACGCTACATTATTATGTAATGTATATATTACACGATACCGGTTGCCGGATATGACCGGCACTGACTCTCTTGACGTGAATTTCCGCAGGTTCTGCGATACGTGATCGAGGGAGGAGTGATGGAACGGCCGGAAAACTGTCCGGAGATGCTGTACGATCTGATGAAGCGGACGTGGAAGCACAAGGTGACGAGAAGGCCAACGTTCATGGACATCGTGACCATGTTGCTGAAGCATATCGACTCGAAACGCTTCCAGGAGGTCAGCTTCTATCACAGTGCAGAGGGCGTCGAGGCGAGGAACCAAAATCGATCCAACTCGCCGCAGATAAATCAGTAAGTAAAGCCGGGCGCATCGACAAAGTTTCAATCGGTCGTCGTTCCCGACTGGCGAACCCTAGAGATTTAAAATTCTGTTCCACGTGTGTCTCACAGGCATCTAGAACTGACCACGCTGCAAGATCTGCAAGAGGAGGAGGCAGAGGGTGAGGAGGACTCGCCGTTGAGGCAGGACTTTGGCGACTTCGCGAGCTTCGAGCCCAGTATCAAGAACAGTTTCAGCCCACGTTTCTGCATGGACTCGTACGGCGAGAACTCGAAAACGACCGCCAACTGCCACGACATGAACTCGTCGAACGTCCCGTTGAAGGCCGGCTTCGACGACTTCGACGGCGTCTCGGCGGACTCGATCGCCTCCGGCAAGGACGCGCTCAACCTGCCGTTCGTCGAGGACAGCCTCAGGTCCGTGAAGAGCTCGCCGTTCATAAACGCGAAGAGCGTCTCACGGAGCAACCTGAGCCAGCTGTCGATCAGCAACAGATCGGCCAGCCCGAAGAACCACAGCGGCAAACGGAGCTTCCTCAGCAGCCCCAACTCCTCGAAGCTGATCAATCCGGACTACGAGAACGGTAGCCCGGAGATACTGTTGGCCGCGGAGAAGAGGGAGACGGTGCCGCTGCGGGTGGACTTCTCGTCGATGGACGCGATCGATATGGACAACGGCGTGGAGAGGAAGGAGCCGCTGTCGCCGGTCGAGTACGTGAACAAACCGGAGGCCTTGAACAACGGCTACATAGGCAGCACGGCCACGTAGTGTTAACGCGATCGCACTCTGCGTCGTTGGCGAAGCGTCGCGACGTCGGTAGTGCGACTCGACTCGCTCGACGCGATCGACGATCGCGTGCACTGGCCGCTGGTGTCGGTGCTTGAACGTCTGCCAAGTAGCTGCCAAGAAGAAGAAGAAGAAGATGAAGAAGAAGAAGCGTCACGCGCTCAGTGGAGAATCACTCGAGAAGATCCGACGCGAATGTCCAGGAATATTCCGCGATCGAACGAACGTTCGAAATGGGCAGTGTCTGTAGGGGAATCGGCGAACAGTCGGACTAGTTCCCTGCGCGTACGCGCCCGCCCTCGTCCCGGCTGCCGGGGTTTTAGAAACGGCGGATTCCAAGTCGTAAGTTGCATTTTTTTAAGTCTCTAGACTTCGGGTTTCGATGTTGTCTCTCCGACGACGTTGACGAATTATTATTATTATTATTATTATATTATTATTATATTATTATTATTATTTTTGTAGAAAACGCGATCGTCTCTCTAAGTAGTCCTACTATATTACGTTTGTAAGATGTATACATACACACAAACATATATATATATATATATGTACTACGTGTAAAACAACGGTTTTTTTAATTCGCGCGCATCCGCTTGTTACAGCAGACACTGCCTTTTCACACGCCGAAAAAAAAAAGAAAAAAAAAAAGAAAGAAAGAAAGAGAGACAGAACCATGTCACGAGAACATGGGACGAATCTGACGATGTCACGTAAAGCGACGAGAAGCGAAACTAGCGTCCCTCTACTGGCCAAGCGTCCAAATGAACCCGCGATCCGAGTATATTTGTATACACAAACATGTCTGCCTATGCCTGTCGTACACGTACGCGCTTTCCGTCGTTCCGAAAGTAATTCGTTAGGCGGGAGAGGAGGCAGGAGGCTCCCTCTCGACGACCTTCCGTTCGCGAAACAAAAGTGGCAATTAATCAGGCGAGCGTGTCAGCCGATCGGTTACGGCTTGCGGTTTTATATTTTACAAGGGGACACCGAGCGTGCGAGTTGCCGCCGATTTAATTGCCGCTTTCTTCGAATTTGTCGTTGTCGTCGCCGGGGGTTGGATCGTCAGAGAGGAAATATATGTGAAAAACCTGTCTCGTACCGAGCGAAGAATCGACTACTTGTCGAAGGACAAGTCCAAGTTGAAAGACAGGCGGGAGACTATATAATATACTTCTCACGTATATTTATCACTGGCGATTTAATCCCGTTCCCACCCCCCTGCGGCAGGGCTGCGAGAAACCGCGGCTCGACTCGTTCGTTCGTGGAAATTCTGTAAAACGGGAGAATCTTCCTTCGAAATCGTGCAATAGAAGAATCAATCTGGCGGCCTGCGTTCGCCACCGACTGTTCTCTCGATTGGTGCTAACGCGAGCGTGTCGAGGAAAAAAGGGGGAGGAAGAGGGAGAGGAAGAATGGACGACGAACAACGGACGAAAAGTTTCACTCCGCCTCTCCGCCCCCCTCCCCCCCTACGTCGGAGCTTGAAGGAAAAACAGATTTCGGAAGGTGCTTCCTTCCAGTTGGACGAGAGAACGTAGACTGTTTTAAGCTCGGGGTGAGAGAGCCGAGGTCGAACGACGAAAGAAAAAGAAAAAAAAAAAAAACGCGACCGACGTGAAGAAAGAGAATCATCCGAGCTAACGCCGGAGAAGCGTGTAGAGGAGCGTTCGAGCGAACCAAAGGAAATGGATGTTTTCACCGCGAGCGACGCGGTAACGCAGTTTGAATTTAGACGTTAACGAGCCTCTAACATAAGACTGATTAGCTAATCCCGTTTATTACATCCATATTCGCTGAAGTAAGGTTTTAACGTTTAATCGAGCCGAAAAGAAAATGGAAAAAAAAAAAAAACAAAAACAAATGGTAGAAGTTCCATATAATGTACGTATACACGTGTTACACGTTTCCTCCCCACCCCACCCCCCTCCCCCCTCTTCGTTTTCTTTTCGTTTTTTTCCTCACGTTTTTTGCTGCTCTTCCCCGAAACGCATCCGCTGCGAGAGCATAGGTTTTCACCTTGAATCTTCCTCGAGACACTACTACTACTACTACTACTACTACTACTACTCTCACTGTCGCTCGTTACTTTGTTCCTTTCTCGCGCAGCTGCTGAACCCTTGCGTCCCCGGGGGGCACGAACGGAAGCGGAAGCCGAACGAGTGTCGATCGAGAGGCCCGACCGCGAGCGTAGGAAGCGGAAAAAAAAATCGACAAAAGAGAGAGAGAGATAGGACTCTGTGGAATTCGATTATCATTCGACGCTTCGTTACGGCCTCCCGTCAGAATCTCTGACCGCTTGTTGTCAATCCCAATGTGAGTGTGGACCCAACGTGTCGAACAGCCTACTCTGTACGTAACGCATTTGTTCCGCGCGTTGTCCATTGCGCGCGCGGCAAGTCGAAGCAACGAGAACCGTACAAAGAAAAATGCAACTCCAGAGAGCTTGGATCGAGACGAGTTGGATCGAGATCGGTTTCTCGCTTCGGAAAAAAGAATCGGCTCGATCTCCTCCCACCTCGATTTATCCGATCGAGCCAGCTGCCGCCTTTTCGCCTCGCGTCGGCGACTTTTGACTCGGTCGCGTTCGACGAGGTTGGCTAGGAAGAAACGAAAGAACGAAAGAAGCTTTTCTCGTGCAACGCGTTTGCTCTCGACGTTGTTCCGCGAAGATCGAGACTCTCTCGGTCGAGAGAAAAAAAGAGAGAGAGAGAGAGAGAGACGACTCGCGCGAAAACGCGGTTGGGTGGTTGTATTGTGAAACAATATTGTGAAGCCTCGCTCGTATTCTAAAGTATTTAGTTTAAACTCGAAGTAAACAGTTAACGCTTAGACCGTGCGCGTAGGTGGGGCGTTGGTCCTCGCACGCATACACGGCGTTGTAAGATTTAACCAAGAAATGTTTCCTACCAAATGAAAACGAGTTCTCTTTATATCACCGCGGATAACGACTCGTGGCTCTAACGAAGAAGAAGAAGAAGAAAGAAGAAGCAGAAGAAGAAGAAGAAGAAGAAGAAGAAGAAAAGAAGTTTCTTAGGCCTATATAGTTTTGAGACCGTGTAATATATATGAAATATATATGTATATTAAGGACGAAGAATCTGGTATTATACAGTGGTAAAACGCGTTTAGTTTACAAGAATGTTACAAGAATGACTGCGACTGCGTGTGCCTGTACATGTTCAAAGACGAAAACTAGAGTAACTCGTGTGCGTCTGTGCGTGTGTGTGTATGTGTGTGTGTGTGCTGTGAAGAGACGACGACCGCGAACTGCGAAACGAGTGCGTGTTGGTTCATACTTAGCGATCGCAGCGAGACAGGGAATTTTCAACGGGGCGATAAAAGCCGCTCCCTCCCCATCCACCTCCGTATCGATCACCAAGCCACGAAGTACAAGACGCATGTGATTTCACGTTCGCCGCTTGCGAGAACGCGATAATAATTCCGCGATAAGAACGACGATAATTCGAAAGAAAAGAAATTCCCGCCTGAGAACGTTTGAAACGTCGCGCTTGAAAATTCGTCGACAGATGTTTGGATCTCTGTTTGAGGGTGAAATTCCTCCGTCGGGTGTTTCCCGATTTTCGCGTTCATTCACGCCTCGCCAATTATTCCCAAGATGAACGCCGTTTTTAAAAAGTAACACGCGTAGTGTTTCTCATTTCCGGAAAATGATTTTGTCCTTTTTCTCTCCCTCTCTCTCATATATATATATATATACACACACACACATACACATTTTTAACGTTCACCTCAACGTTTGTATTTCTTCAGTTCTTTTGCCTTTGTGTTTGTTTGTTTGTTGTTCGATTTACGACAACGCGGCTTAATTTTTGATGGAAACGTGACAGCAAACTTTAATTTAAGCAACGATGCTGCCCTCTTGTTCCTATACTGTGTCCTCTGTTTTCTTTTTTCTTTTTGCTTTTTTTTTTTATTTTTTTTTTNTTTTTGTTTCTTTATCCTTGATACTGCAATTTGCACGCACGATTAGCCTGTATACGAAACACGAGTAACCTAAGATTTTCCTAACGACGTTTACTTTAGAGTTTTAGGTAGAGATAACGCCATTCGACAGAAATTTCAACACCTTCCACAGTTTTTTTCTTTTTTCTTTTTAATTATTATTGTCCTTATTCTCGCGGTCTTTTCTTTTTTTTCTTTCGTTTCTACCATATAATCTCGCGCACGAAACTGCCTCTTTAGCTCCTAATGTCCGAAAGACTCCTCGCGCGACTGCTCAATATTAGATTGCTCAAGCTCTCTGTCTCTGATTTTGTAGTTGACGCGAAATCAGTCAAAAAAGAAAAAAAGAACCATTCTCAGAAATTGTTCGTAATGCACAAAAGGGGGGAGAGGCAATTCGACAACTTTTTCTTCCAAAAAAATAATAGTCTCTCTTTCTTTTTTTCTGTTTTCTCTATCATTTTCGTCTCGTAACGTTGGCTCGTTCTGCCATTCTTGCTTTCATTGTCCAACGAAATTGAATTTAAGTCTCTTTTTCTTCTCCCTATTTGTGTTCGCGGAGACATTTGCGCGCGCTTCTAAACGAAAAAAAAAAAAAAAGAAAAAAGGAAGAAGGAAATATTATTGACCGGCTTCCTCGGAGAAACCACTAATTTTTACATCGGTGGATCTGATCTTGCAGCGATGTTTCTCGTTTATTTCGACTATTTTGCACAGGAGCGAAGAAAGAAAAGAAAGAAATGTCGAACGATACACGTCGTTAATCCGACTTTGGTTGGAATTACCGTGCTACCAGTGCTATACCACGCGAGAGGAAGAAAAAAAGAGACAAAGGAAAATTGATGACGATCAATACGGACGCAAGCATGTTTATCGTTTTTTTTTTTTTTTTTCTTGATCCGGTGTGGCAATCTCGATCGACGTTCAGTTCAGTTTGTTCGCATTAACAAACGGGCGGTTCTTTTTCCTATTATTTATTTCTTTTTTGTACATATAATACACACACACACACATATATATATATTATTGTCGTATTTATTTGTCAATAAAACGTGGCGATGCGCGGATACAAAGATGCTTTCATCACCGGCCTTTTTTTACCTTTCGTCCAATACATCGATTGTCAATACTCGAACGATTATCCGTCATTTTCCGCTTTCACGTTCCCCAGCCTGTTCTGCCAACGGCGAGAAGTCAAAGGGAATTTTCTCGTTTACGCTACCATCTCGCGACCCGTCACACCTGCCGATTTTTTACCGATCTTCCGCATCTTCTGGAAAAAAAAAAATAAACAATCGCGCGATGGAAACATGTGAACTGCCGTAGAACATAATATAATAATAATAATAATATTAATAATATTAATAATAATAATAATAATGATAGAACACTAGAGAGAGAGAAAAAAAAAATTACGACTGACAGCGAGTGAAATGAAAGACGAATAGCGTGATCGCGGGGTTAATCGGCACGCGCGCCGCCGTCTGTAATTACGTCGCGAGCGACGCCATTTCCGGCGAGTCCTCGCCGAGAAAATTCCTTTTTCGGGAGCGTGCAATCAGCTGCGAGAACTGGTTACTGGAATTCACTCGGATCACAGCCTCGTGTGATCGTTTCGTAACCCGTCGCCGATTTTTTGCGCCATCATCAGCTTGATCTTTTCACCAACGTGCGTGAAAAGACACGGCGGAGATCCACGGAACACGATTCAAAAGCCGAGAGAACTCGAGTCTTGGAAACGTTGGAAGGTGCCGGACGCTTGCAAAGACACTGAGCCAAAATTCTCAAGACGTTCAAGGCTTTCGAGATCAGTTCCGGGCATTCAAGGACACTCGAGCAAGCCTCGAGAACTTGTGATTTGGATGTATATATATTTTTTTTTTTTTCACGTACGTACGCGCAGAGAACGAGCACGTATTGAAATATGGCAGCTCTCCTCCTCTCTCGTCGCACGGATTTGAAAGCGGAGAACGCCGTTTGTATTCGGCATTTTTTTATTTTTTTTTATTTCTTTTATTTTTTTTTTTTTTATTTTTTCACCGCAACTGCCGGGAGTAAATGCACGTTCGACAACGTGCTTTCACTGTCGTTCTCGCTGCGACGAAAAGAAAGTGACTCCCCCTTCTCTCTCCCCCTCCCCCCTCCCCCCTTCCCGTCCTTGTCGCGAGAAACACCCTGTGCAACGCATCGACGCAGGTATCTACGATTTTCGACCCGATTTTTCAGAAAATCGATCCGTTTCGACGCGCCACGCCAGAGCGCGGAGAACAAGAGCCAGATAAGAAGAAGAAAAACGCACGACTGTTCGCAACCGAGTCTCGTTATCCTCCGACATCGAATGCAAGGTAGAAAGACGAGAGAATGTTTCTTTTTTTTTTTGTTTTTTTTTTGTTTTTGCTAATAAATCGCCGTAATAATTGTAATTGTAACGCTCGACGTTGTAAAAACAAAAAGGAAGAAGAAGAAGAAAAAGAAGAAGAAGAAGAAGAAGAAAGGAGAAGGAAATAAATAAACGAAAATATGGCCGACGGAAGCTTTTCCCTGTTCGTCGATGAACGCTGTCTAGGCGAATCTATCCCGTTAAATGTAATTTACTATTACGATCATACGTTACGCTATACCCAAAATGGAGACAGAATTTTATTTACCAAATACGAGTTTTTTAATAAAAAAAAAAAAACACTTTTTTGTGAAGGAAAACTAAACGCTTGGACTTTTCTGCTTTCCTCCCGCTTCGCGTGCCAGAGCTTTGTCAGAAAATGGTAAACGTTGTTCGATAATGGTCAAAAAATGACCTATTGTTATTACGGTGTAGACTATGAATTTTTAACAAAACACTTCCTCCCGAGAGGAAACAAAATGATTAGACTTTTCTATTTCTTTCGCTTCCAGGTTCCAAATACCAAAGTTTTATTTAAAAAATGGTAATAATACGTTAAGATTTTTATCAAAACATGACTTTCTGAAGGAAACAAGAAATGCTTGGATTTCACTCCTCCTATTTCCAACTTTCAAAAACTAAAGTTTGAAAATGGTAAAATGGCAATGATATTGTTCGATGGTTTAATAGGTCAAGAAACGACATGGTGACTAAATTTTTGAACAAAACACTTTCTTCCCGATGAAAACGAAATGTTTGAAAATTTTCTATTCCTCTCGCTTCCAAGTTTCAAAGACCAAAATTTTGTTAAAAATGGTAAAAATGGCATTATTCGACGCTTTAATAGATCAAGAAACGACACGATGACTAAATTTTGAACAAAACACTTTTTTTTCCCGAAGAAAACAGTTCTTGGACTTTTCTACATTTCTTGCTTTCTCAAGTTTCAGAGACCAAAGTTTTGTTAAAAATGGTAATTGTCATTCGGCACATTAAGAAATCATGGTGATTAAATTTTTAGCAAAACATTTTTTTCTGGAAGGAAACAAAATGCTCGAACTTTTCTGTTCCTCTCGCTTTTTCACGTTTCAAAGATCAAAGTTTTGTCAAGAATGGTAAAAATGGTATTACTCGACGCTTGAATAGGTCAAGAAACTAGTGACTAAATTTTGAACGAAACATTTTCTTCCCGAAGGAAACGAAATGCTTGAAAATTTTCTATTCCTCTCGCTTTTTCAAAGACCAAAATTTTGTTAAAAATGGTAAAAATGGTATTATTCGACACTTTAGTAGGTCAAGAAACGACACGATGACTAAATTTTGAACAAAACACTATCTTCCCGAAGGAAACAAAATGCTTCAACTTTTCTGTTCCTCTTTTTCACCTTCCAAAGACCAAAGTTTTGTCAAAAATGGTAAAAATGGTATTACTTGACGCTTGAATAGTCAAGAAACTGGTAACTAAATTTTGAACAAAACACTTTCTTCCTGAAGAAAACTTTGAAAATGCTTGAAATTTTCTATTCCTCTCGCTTTTTCAAAGCCCAAAATTTTGTTAAAAATGGTAAAAATAGTATCATTCGACGCTTCAGTGGGTCAAGAAACGACATGGTGACTAAATGTTCAACAAAACACTTTCTTGCCGAAGGAAACAAAATACTTCAACTTTTCTATTCCACTTTTTCACCTTCCAAAGACCAAAGTTTTGTCAAGAATGGTAAAAATGGTATTACTCGACGCTTGAATAGGTCAAGAAACTGGTGACTAAATTTTGAACAAAACATTTTCTTCCCGAAGGAAACGAAAAGCTTGAAAATTTTCTATTCCTCTCGCTTTTTCAGAGCCCAAAATTTTGTTAAAAATGGTAAAAATAGTATCATTTGACGCTTCAGTAGGTCAAGAAACGACATGGTGACTAAATGTTCAACAAAACACTTTCTTGCCGAAGGAAACAAAATGCTTCAACTTTTCTATTCCACTTTTTCACCTTCCAAAAATCAAGGTTTTGTCAAAAATGGTAAAAATGGTATTACTCGACGCTTGAATAGGTCAAGAAACTGGTGACTAAATTTTGAACAAAACATTTTCTTCCCGAAGGAAACGAAATGCTTGAAAATTTTCTATTCCTCTCGCTTTTTCAGAGCTCAAAATTTTGTTAAAAATGGTAAAAATAGTATCATTCGACGCTTCAGTAGGTCAAGAAACGACATGGTGACTAAATGTTCAACAAAACACTTTCTTGGCGAAGGAAACAAAATACTTCAACTTTTCTATTCCACTTTTTCACCTTCCAAAGACCAAAGTTTTGTCAAGAATGGTATTACTAAAAATGGTATTACTCGACGCTTGAATAGGTCAAGAAACTGGTGACTAAATTTTGAACGAAACACTGTCTTCTCGAAGGAAACGAAATGCTTCTCGCTTTTAGGTTTCAAAGACGACGACAGTTTTGTCAAAAAATATCGTTCGACGCTTTAATAGGCGACAGAAACGGGACGGTGACAAAATTGTTTCGAATAAAAAGGAAAAATTCCAGCAATGTTCCCAGAGAGAGATACATGGCCCGGTTCTTTTTGGGAACCTCTCCCATCGGTTTTCAGTTCCCAGCGAGACGAATGAGTGTCCGAGCGACGACTTAGAGAGCCAAATATGGCGGTGTCTTCGACGGCGGGATTCTTGGGAATCGTCGGCCCCCACGAACCGGCGCAAACAGGTATATCCCGATTTCGTTCCTCGTTTTGCATCTTGCACCGGCATCATCGTGTACTCTCCGCACTGTGTGTGCATGTGTGCACGCTGCACACGCGTATGCATTTGCAGCACCGTTCACCGAGAGAGCCTGACCTCGATTCCACGTTTCAAGAACGTTGCCTTCTCGCGTCACGACTCGGATTCGTCGCGACCTTTGCGATCCTCTTATTCCACGATGACGATTTTACCGATGGCGAGGCGCCGCCGATCAGGCAACACGAATTCCAATCGCGACCACCCTCCGAACGATTTTTATACCAATCGAGAATCGCGACCGCTCTCGTGGTATCGAAGAAACCCATGTCGCACGTTGAATTCTTTGGAGTACGAGCATTTACGAGGAATTTAACACTTTCGCAGCAGACGTTTATTTGGACATTAATGAAAATATCTATTCACCTTAGAACGAGTCAGAATATTCTACAGAGTGGACCAAAAGTTTCTTACCACCTATTTTTTTTTTTTTTTTTTTTTGAATAAGACATCAAAATGTAACAAAAAAAAAATTAATTTTAAGTTAAATCAAAGATGATATTCTTGTTGTGTTTTGTAAAAATTATTTCTCTCGAATGTTGACCGCCATGTATAATAAAAGAAATTACAAATTTGCTTTAGTAAAAAGTGATTTTTGGTCCGCTCTATGCAAATCACCATAATTCGAGTTAAAATAATTAAAATAAAAGTTAAAAAAATAGTTAAAATAAAAGTGTTCGAATTAATATTAATTTTAGGAACACTCGTACTTTTTAAACAAAAACAGAAATCACTATAATTCGAGTTAAAATAATTTAAATAAAATAAAAATGTTCAAATTAATATTAATTTCAGGAACACTCGTACCTTTTAAACAAAAAAAAAAAAAAAAAAAAGAACGAAAGCAATTGAAATACTGATGGATTGTTACAGTGTTAAAATAATATTATTCAACTTTTATAATAATAATTGCAATGGATTTTACGTAAATTTTTACACAATATCTCTTACATGCTTTCGTCATTTTAACACATCTCGTCAGCAAAGTATTTACTGAGTATAATTACTAAATTTAAATAATTGGCGATCGTCTTTTTACGTGACCACCTGTGTGACCAAAATGTGTTAGAAAGGATAAGCTTAAACGGGGCATATACAGTACCGGTCACTTGCCGGACTTCGGAACACTGAAAAGTGCACTGGTACAAGGTGACGACCGATCCGACAAACATATTCGGTCATATGCATCTGATTAACTGGTTGCTCGATGTCGTTTGGTTTTCGCCAATCTTTTTCTTTTTCTATTTATCTATCTAAATATCATGGACACGTGTCTTGCGACGAATAGGAAAAGAAATAAATTAACGAGAAAACACGCGAGTATCAATTTTTTCGCATATATTTTGAAATTGTTTGATGAACAACAAACAAATCAATATGGTTATTGTAAAAATTGTCTCGCGGCTATTTGTTTCAAGTATTTTTTTTTTTTTTTTTTTTTTTTTTTTTTTCAAGTATTTTTTTTTTTTTTTTTTTTACTTATCTATTTCAATATTGGCAGACAAATGTCCTGTGATAAAGAAAAAGAGATAAATTAACAGGTCACGAGAAGTTTATAAGAAAATACACGAGTACAATTCTGGAACTGTTTGATGAACAACAAACAAATCAATGTGGTTTGCGCTTATATTTGTTTCAAATATTTTTTTTTTCTTATTTACCTATTTAAATACTGATATAAAACAAATGTCCTGTGATACGGGAAACAGATTGTGAGAAGTTTCTTGACAAACGTTTCGAGATCGTTTGACGAACGACAAACAAACAAATGAATATGATTCGCATTCGCTTCTGGGTGTGTTCTGGTAATCTCAAAAAAATCTAGGAACAGCAAAATTACTTCTTCAATGGCGCGTTGGAGTATTAGTATAAGAAACGCGATCGATTTAAGCACGGATTTGATTTAACAGCTGGCTAACTAATTGCGGACCATAACGAGTGACCAAACGAGCACGCAATAATTCGTCGCTTTCTTTTTTGAACACGTCGATATCACTGGATAGAAATTATCGAGAAGTAATAAATTTATCATTTGTTTCGCCTATTTTGTTTTACTTAAAATATACTTAACACTGAGAGAATATTACAATTTTTGGTGCAAAAAATTCTCGACGTGCGCTGGCAACCGATTGCGGACCATAACGAGTGACCAAAACCGTCTACAATTAATTCGTCGCTTTCTTACTGAACTCGTCGGTACGATATCGCTATATCGGATAGAAATATATTGAAAAGTAGTAAATTTATCATTTGTTCTGCCAATTTTGTTTTACTTAAAATAATACTCAACACTGAGGAAATATCACAATTTTGGAACAGAAAATTCTCGACGTTGCGTGGCACGTCGTTCCAGCGCAAGAGGTTTTAACCTTCTATAGGACGGATGTAAATCGCCAGGCGAAGTTTAATTTTACATGTTTCCATTATAAATTATTGCAGTTCCTGTATTTTCAAAGTTAATGAAATCAAATAAAGAGTCAAGCTACTCGAAAAGCTACAAGAAGCGAGAGAACCGTCGATCTATCGGACGTTCGGCTTTCTCAGATATTACACCGGTGTCGACATATCGGGCGTTAGTAGTTAGAAAAGATTAAACGGAGTCTCGTTAGAACGCCTGTCGTAAATGGCGCCTGCGAGAGCCGACATTTCCCATCGAGAGCTCGTCATCGAACGCTTCGAAGATCCGATATTCAAAGTTAGATGCCCGAGGAGATGGCCCGAGAGCCAGTGGGTACCGTTACTACCTGTTCCCACCTGAATCGTCGCCAATTTTATCTCTGTTGCCCGTACGTGGGCAGGAAGAGGAGGAAGAAGAAGCCTCGTCCTCCTCGCGCCTCTCCAACCCTCGTCCCCCTTTCGACCACCCTCCTCTGCCTTTTTTCGCATACCTGCTCGCTCGAGGATCGCGAAATTTCAGGGGTCGTTAACCCCTGAAAAACCAGCCGTCTCCGGGGAAACGAAATTGTTTTTTTCTTCTTTTTTTTTTTTTTTTTTTTTCTTTTGCCATTTTGACACCAGTGCCAGAGAGACGAGGTTCAACGCCACGCACTGTCGCGGAGAAATTAAGAGAACGTCGCATCTCGCGCGAGAGGGAGAAAGAGATTTCTTTCGAAGAATTCGACAGTTGGCGATAGAAGAGAGAGAGAGAGAGAGAAAAAAAAAGAAAATGGCACAAGTGCGCGCTATCGGTATTGATAACTTTTCTTCGATCGAAAGGTTGATGATGGCGAGAATATCGAGAGGAAGGACAAGGCGATACACGATTCCCAGAGAGAGAGAGAGAGAGAGAGAGAGAGAGAGAGAGAGACGCCAGGAAACCGTTGTCCTCGTTCGAAGCTCGCTCGCGCGTTCATCGGGACGTCTACCAACCTCCGATCAGAAAGCCACCTGCCGCATACCATCTTCTGCTCTGTCGCCGGAGGCAGAAGCAGCCTCCGCTCTTTCTCTCGAACGAGAGACAGGAGAGACGAGAGAGAGAGAGAGAGAGAGACAGAGACGGTCCGCGAAAAAAAGATTCGCTTTCACGAAAGTCCATGCAGCCATTTCGTTTTCCCGCGTCATCCTTTATACTTGTCCGGAATGCGCGGCTACGTGAACAAACTAGCGAGAGAGAGAGAGAGAGAGAGAGAGAGAGAGAAATGAGATTTACGAGAGACCTTTTCGCAAGCAAATCCAGGACGCTCCCAAAAATGCTTTGAATAGGACGTCCGACGGGCGAAAGAATTTGATGACACATGACGAATCGCGTATGTACATGGCCGTATATGTACATACACGTGTTGGATGAAGGATTATACTATAAGCACGGGAGCGATCGACAAACGTCGACTTTTTCTCAGTTCGAAATGCCGGAGAGAAATTATTTCAATGTTATTGTACAGGATGTCCGTAAAGTCTCTTTACAATTTCGAAAATTTATTACAAGTGCAAATGAAGAGACAGACAAGTGGATATTGTTACAAAATGAGACGTATATATTTAAGTTTTTCTTTTTGCCTTATGTAATACACCTCGATACGGGCACCATTGGTTGCACGATGCACATCAAGATGCACGTTACTCGATTTCTTAGACGATCGATATTTACCTCAGATGTTCTTGATCGTCCACTCATCCCTTTATCGAACACTGTACCTGTCGTCTCCGTAAATTTCTTGTGCCACGCACGAATTGATGGACGTGACGGTGGATCTCTTCCATACTTTGTTCTGAAGTTTCGCCGAGTCTGCAGATCCGACTTGGTTTCAATAAACCATGATACGCACTGTGCCTTCTCCCGAGGTGTAGCCATTTTGTAAGGGGTTCGTTTAACAGTATCTTATTCATCAACAAGGTACCTGAATGCAATGTGTTAGAAACCTTGATAACCACTGAGTACATAGAACAAATCTGACGAAGGTGTCTCATCAATTGCCTCTGTAATAAATTTTTGAAATTGTAAAGAGACTTTATGGACACGCACATGGGGTTATGTTGAAGATATCGTGTATCGAACAAAGAAATCGAGTATCGTCTCTTGATGTGCTTCGTGCAACTAATGGTGCCCATATAGAGGTGTATTAAACGAGGCGAAAGAAACTTAAATATATACGTCTCATTTTGTAATAATTTCCACTTATCTGTCTCTTCATTTGCCTTCGTAATAAATTTTTGAATTTGTAAAGAGACTTTATGGACACTCACATGAGGTTATGTTAAAGATGTGTATCGAACAAAGGTACGGAACGTGACTAATCTAAAGCAGAGGAAGAGATTTATTTCAGATTAATTTCCTTACAGACACAGTAGGTGCAAGAACTGTAACAGCGTGCGAAATTCTTGGCACGCGACGGCTGTGCAGCATTGCCGATTCCTCGCGATTCGGTGTCCACGGAACGGTCTCTGGAATTGGTAATTGCTAGGCGAACCATCGATCGTCCTCGTTAACGTGGTAACGGCGATCACCTGACACGAATGCAACACAATGAACTCTCGTGCAACGCAGAGGAATTTGCGAAACGACGATGAATTTATAATATATATCGGACAGAAATACGAGCTACAATATATATTGTTTTCACAAATTCTGTCTGACATATTATAAATTAATATATATATTATAATATATATTGTTTATATTAATTTTAATATATATTATTATTATTTATAATTATATATAATTAATATATATAATATATATATACACTCATATTATTCGCGTATGTCTACAATATAATTTACGATTCAGCAACAAATAATGAAATAATTATTTTACATTGGAAATTTTTTTATACCCTTGTACCAAAAATATTAACAGACGTACACTTTCCAGTAGCAAGGTTCGAAAACACTTTTTTAGAACTAGCAGATATTTATATTTTCCTGATGTACATAAATATTTTTCAGCAAATTTCTTTAGAAATTTTGGAAATTTTCTTTCCTTCCAGAGCTGGCTGATATTTCCCTGGTGTACACAAATATTTTTCAGCAAGTTTTTTAGAAATTTTCTTTCCAGAGCTAGCTGATATTTCCCTGGTGTACACAAATATTTTTCAGCAAGTTTTTTAGAAATTTTGGAAATTTTCTTCCCTTCCAGAGCTGGCTGATATTTCCCCGGTGTGCACAAATATTTTTCAGCAAGTTTTTTCTATTTTTTGGAAATTTTCTTCGACTCTTCGACACGAATTAATAAATTCGATTTGTCATGCAACAATTCGTTCTCCTCGTAACACGAGAGGAGTACGAATGAAAATCGTACGTTTGAAAATCGGTTACAGAGAAACGGGAACGTTGCACCTGATGCAGCTAATCCTTCCTTCGGATCGTCCACTTTCGCGTGACCTCTGGCGAATCCAAGTACCGGCGCGGGATTAGCTTGATGTCCCTAGTCCTCGTGCAAACGAAGCAATCGCGGCGTGGTAGCACGCTTTCCTCGATTATTACGTAAAAGTTAACTTCGGCACGCACGACGCGACGACGATTGCGCGACGACGAATAGCATCGTGTCTGATTTCATCGTCGTTGTTGTTCAACGCCATAAAACACGAGGCTATTTCCCCGGGCAGTCGCGTGTCACCGTACTCTCGACGAGTCTTTTCGCCGCGTTGCGTGCCAATGGGGGAAAACGAGTAGTCGGGGTCGGCGAAAAAAGAAACAAAGAGACAGAAACGTTGAATAGAGAACGAAGTGGCCTCTAAAGCAATTGGTTACGGTAAATTGGAAAAGGTATTAGCACGCATTTGTAATTTCAATCACATCTGCGTCTATTCTGTGACGGCGCGAGTTTCGAAAAGAATTCGAGAAAAATATCTCTAATTAGAAAAGCTGGACAGATACAGTGGGGTGCAAAATTTTTAAGAAAAATATAAAGAAATATTGAAAAAAAAAAAAATTCTAGACGCATACAAATCTCCTTTTAGCTCAGTAGTGGAACTACATGCTCGTGTTATAGAACAGTGGCCATCAAATGCCATCTGATTTCTGCTCAAGACTGTTTGAAAGTGCGCCAAGACGTATTAGAGCTCTTATCTAAGCAGATTGCTTATGGACAAAATATTAAGGTACGACGAAGCTTGTAAATCTGACTGTGAAAAAATTCTGGTGCAAAATTGATTCTATGTTTTTTTTAATTTTTTTCAGCCAGGAAGAAACCTAAGCTTAAGAGTTAAAAAAATAGCTTCAGTTTTCCTAAAACTATAAAGAATCAGATAGTCAAGTTTATTTTCATGTTTCTGTACTTTGTTTAACAATAGAAAATATTTTTCTTAAAAATTTTTGTTATTGACCCAATTTTTAATCTAAACTTAATGAGATTGGTTTCAGTTGAGTATTTTTTTAGCGATATTTCTATATAAAAAGAAAATAAAAAAATAAAATTTCATTTCCACTAATACATGGAAATGTTATAATAGTAATAACCATAGTAATAATAATCGTAGTATAATAGTATAAATAGCATGAAAATTCGAGAATCGAAGAGATATCGACACGTGAAGGAATTTTTTTTTTTCCTTTTGCAAATCTATCGTGCATGTAAATAGAAAATAATGAAATTAATAACAATATAAAAATTAATAATAATAAAAAATAATGAATTAATAACAGTATAAAAATTCGAGACTCAAAAAGACATTGACACGCGAGAATTTGTTTCTTCTGCGAGTTCTATCGTGTATTTCTGAAGAGAATATAAAATAACGAATCAATAACAATATGAAAATTCGAGAATCAAAATGGTATTGACACACGAGAATTTTCTCTTTCTTTTTTTTTTTGCGATTCTATCGTGTATTTGAACAAAATGTAAAATGTTTCTAATAGTTTTGAAGACAAGCGATATCATTCGACAACTTGCAAAAGGATATTTCTCGAATTTTTCTAATTCCGCCATTAAATGCAGGTGTGTGTCAATACTTTTTTCTCTGACGCTCGAATTTTTGTATCTCTTGTATTATTATTGAAACTCATTATTGAAAATTCCTAATGCGCACTTGAATTTAGTCAATCCTACAACACGACAAGAACAGTCAATTTTATTTTATTTTAAAAATAAACAAAGAACGTAGAATGAAACTTGTTCAATTGAAAGAATAACGAAATCAGAACGAAAATTCTTCGCGTGGATGAATCGTCACCTTTCAGTTTCATTTTCAAGAAAACAGACTTTCTATTTGTGTTTCGTTGCCTCGGTACATGTAACGTACCTGATGAAAATTTATGAAAATTATGGAAAAATCTCTCTTTTCCTTTTCTCGATTTATTTCCACATGTAAAACCCATGATCGATTCGTGCCGCCAATTTCGGGAACACTCTGTATTCCGAGGACACGGAAACCTAAGGAGTTGAAGTGATCTCTAAATTAATTTATAAAGTATGAATAGTTTCGTTTAAATAGTTTCACGAGTCACGAAATAGTCCGAGGGCCAAGACACTGTAACAAATGGCCCCTTCTGGACTCGTTCGTCGTTCATTTGCTCGATTCTTGACCTGGCGCGGAAGCGAAATCACAGGCGTGCATAGTTTGCTCGCACCAGCAACCCAGATCTTCGCGCGATGGAAATATACCGTTAAAACGTAGCAGAGACCCGCAGCCGTGACGAGTCGTCGTTCGCCAGCGATTCTCCTGTTAACAATCGATTCGACACCGGCCGATCGATGGATCGCTGACGAATTTTCCACCAATCGTTCGACACGTGCATAAAAATGTACAGGGTGTCCATAAAGTCTCTTTGCAATTTCAAAAATTTATTACAAAGGCAATTGATGAGACACCTTCGTCAGATTTGTTCTATGTACTCAGTGGTTATCAAGGTTTCTATCACATTGCATTTCAGGTACCCTGTTGATGAATAAGATACTGTTAAACGAACCCCTTACAAAATGGCTACACCTCGAGAGAAGGCACAGTGCGTATCATGGTTTATTGAAACCAAGTCGGATCTGCAGACTCGGCGAAACTTCAGAACAAAGTATGGAAGAGATCCACCGTCACGTCCATCAATTCGTGCGTGGCACAAGAAATTTACGGAGACGACAGGTACAGTGTTCGATGAAGGGATGAGTGGACGATCAAGAACATCTGAGGTAAACATCGATCGTCTAAAGAAATCGAGTATCGTCTTGATGTGCATCGTGCAACTAATGGTGCCCGTATAGAGGTGTATTACATAAGGCAAGAAAAACGTAAATATGTACGTCTTATTTTGTAACAATATCCACTTGTCTGTCTCTTCATTTGCCCTTGTAATAAATTTACGAGATTGTAAAGAGACTTTACGGACACCCTGTATAACAATAAACGTGAACTGTTCCGTGAACTTTATCGTCTGTGAACCGCATCAATTCCAGAACGAATCATATCTGGGACAAACGGCCTCGTAACGAGGCGAGACGTCATCCTGCCGTTAGAAAACACGGCGGCGAGCGATTCTCGCGCCGGTGAAAGCGTCGTAAGGCCGCGGCGTCGCGCTTTTTGCCGCATTTCTTTCGTAATTGTCGCGACAGTCTCGCCCGGATCCACGGCCGATTTCGACCACGAAGAGCTGATGGAACGATGGAAAAGAAACGACGGCTCGCTGCGCCGTGATACAGATACACCACCACCTGTTCATTAAGTGCAGCGGCGACAAATGACTTCCGGCACGTTTCTTGCGATCCCGCTGCACACTCGCAACAGCGAGGCGAAAGTAAGCGCTTTTAGCGGCAAATTACGTAGAGGCAGGAAGGAAGGACTCGTCCGCGAACGGAAGGGAAATAAACGGGAGCGAAACGAGTCGTTTAACCTCTTGCGCTGGAACGACGTGCCAAAATTGTAATACTTTTTCAGTTTTAAGTATATTAAATATTGTAAGTATTGTAAATATTGTAAGTATTGTAAATATTGTAAGTATTGTAAATATTTTAAGTATTTTAAATATTTTGAATATTTTAGATTTTAAGTATTTTAAGTTTTAAGTATTTTAGGTTTAAGTATTTAGAGTTTTAAGTATTTTAGGTTTTAAGTATTTTAAGTTTTAAGTATTTTAGGTTTAAGTATTTAGAGTTTTAAGTATTTTAGGTTTTAAGTATTTTAAGTTTTAAGTATTTTAGGTTTAAGTATTTAGAGTTTTAAGTATTTTAGGTTTTAAGTATTTTAAGTTTTAAGTATTTTAGGTTTAAGTATTTAGAGTTTTAAGTATTTTAGGTTTTAAGTATTTTAAGTTTTAAGTATTTTAGGTTTTAAGTATTTAGAGTTTTAAGTATTTTAGGTTTTAAGTATTTTAAATATTTTGAGTATTTTAGGTTTTAAGTATTTTAAGTTTTAAGTATTTTAGGTTTTAAGTATTTAGAGTTTTAAGTATTTTAAATATTTTAGGTTTTAAGTATTTTAAATTTTAAGTATTTTAGGTTTTAAGTATTTAGAGTTTTAAGTATTTTAAATATTTTGAGTATTTTAGGTTTTAAGTATTTTAGGTTTTAAGTATTTAGAGTTTTAAGTATTTTAAATATTTTGAGTATTTTAGGTTTTAAGTATTTTAAGTTTTAAGTATTTTAGGTTTTAAGTATTTTAAATATTTTG